CATGGTTTAACTTTTAAACTGGATTAAATCAAGATCTATCTTCTAATCCTGTTGCACCAAACTTAAAAATTTTGTTTAAATTTAGTTCACAATTAATCCTGATTCAATCTAAACCTTTGGTAATCTCAGTTTAATTTCCACTTAAAATGTAGATTAAATTCAAGTCTGTTGCACCAGTAAATTTAAAACCTAATATAAAGCTGGATTAGCAGTCATATTTAAAACACCCCTTGAGGAGGTTTACGTTACATCCGTTTCAGTTTTATTAACAACATGGCTACATTTTTTTGCTGGGTGGGATCAGAGGAAATAGTCCCATGTAGGAAAATTCAAGATGGGTTAAACCCAACTGTGTTTTTTTCTTAAAGCAATAGTGAATTTTCCCAGCGGTATCAATTTACAAAAGTGTCATATACCTCAGTAGGAAGGTAGGACCAGCTATCATGCATGGAAGTGAGAGGAACTCTTCTCTACAGTACCTCCACTTCTCCAGCTCCTTACAGCTTTGCTTTTTCAGATGGTTGACGAGGATCTTTTTGGAATTCACAAGACCACAGCCTGCAGAAATTGGCAATTTCACACTGCCACAGCTTAACCATCGGTCGCCCACAAACACCGGCGTTAACATGGATGTTGCACGGAAGTGCAGAAGAGATGTTGCAGAGCAAAAATTGGGCTGCAAAAATAATTCCGTCTGCACAATTACATTTAATGTGTCAATTAATACATTTTTGCTTATGTCTTTATATTTCTTCATCGGAAAATCCGACCACTAGCCAATATACTTTTATCTAATATCGCCGGTGAAACTTGCTAACGCTTATTAGCAGGATAACGTTATCGTTTTGTATTCTGTGGAAAACGAAGGATCGATCTGCTGGCCAAATTTAATATGAATCATAAACACGGCAAGAACCATATAAGTAAATATAAATAACAGGCTGTGTTGCTATTGGTTCCTCAATAACTAACAAATAAGTAACAAAATGACTTTTTTGTCCTCCACTGTTTTGGTGTGGCGGTGTAGTTTCATATGAAATTATGTTTGTAGTTTTATCTAAAATTGAAAGGACTCCTGCTCAATTAATATCCAAGTTGTGAATGAAAAAATTATGTAAATCAGCATAATTGAAGCAAAAGTGTGGTAAATGTATTGGATTTTATTTTTAAAAAGTTCATGAGACATTTGTGTTAACTTTATTTAGGGCCATATTTATTTAGCCTAGACGCATTGTGAATTTGCTTGCGTTTCGTTGGAATCCATCATGGCGGACACTGAACCTAAATGGATCCTATTTCAATCATAGTTTAAATTTTAACCCTGGGTTAGTTAAACCAGTTTAAACACCAGTGGCCTGTATTACGAAGTAGGGTTACTGGCTGATCGGGGTAACTTGTCAGGTTTAAAGTACCACAGTTTAAATGGATTTCATATTTGTTCACTTACTTCTTGCCCAGACTACCTTAAATCCGACAAATTACCCCGATAAGCCAGTAACCCCGCTTCGTAGTACAGGCCACTGGATTAATTTAATCCATGTTGGTGCAACCTAGCCCAAGTGTATTTATTGGATAATTCGCAATTGTTTACAGATGAATATAGGAATTTAAACGTGATGCTACTTAAAAATGGTGAGAAGATGAATTTTGTGATTATTCACACCTTTTGGAATATCTACCCCACACACACAGATGTTTGGGAGCCCCCTGTAGGCCACTAATAGTCATTACAAGAGGGGAGTCAAAAATAGTCATTTTTGAGTGGAGCCCCAGAAACCACAATCGGGCCCCTGCTCACAGCTATGGTGTGGTGATCTGGGATCTCCGCCTGTCTGGCTGTCCCAGATCCCCGGACAGATTGGCCGGTTCTGGGTCCCCCCGGTACTCACAGCCCAGGTAGGCCTTCAGGCTGCCCTTCGTCATGAGCTCGGTGATGATGTAGATGGGCTCGCCCCGGGAGCACAGCGCCAGCAGCTGGATCAGCTTGGGGTGATGGAGGCTCTTCAGTGCTTGCACCTCCTTCACAAACTCATCCTGCTTGGTATCCTCTGTGGGGTGGGGGGGGGCGGGGGGCACAGAGCACAGCCAGTCACCACCAGTGACGCCCGACTTACCAGCACGTTGCTTACTGCGATCCCCACTTCCTGTCTGCTCGAGTACAACAGCTGGATATTTTACTGCACCAATTCGCAGGCAAGTAACCATGGCTACTATGGCAAAGCTTAGACCAGATTGCAGTTGCAATGGTCTAAAGACCGATGTTTACGCTGCTGGTATCTATATGGGATGCAGCCTGGTCCAGTGGTTGTTCTGACCCGGGTTCAGAAACTCATTAGCAGTAAAAAGCATCGTCCTCATGAAACTGAGATAAGTGCGCAGCTGACTGACATCTAAAAGAGGAACAAAGAGGGCAGCGTGTTCGGCTAAAGGTACGGCAGCTGTCAGAAACTTCCTCACAATTGAGATTCGAATGACGCAGATGGAGCAGAAAATCAGGCTCCATGGGCAGCCGTAACCCTCTGCGACACAATCAGGGGACGCTCCTCATGAATTAGTCATCTGCAACTTTACCGTGATCAAACTTTTATTCATTTATACTGCACGCTGCTCTTAATTTTCACCTCTGCGAGGGTAATTCCCCAAAGTCTGCAATTATTACTGAAAATTGCAGCTTATTCTGGGAAATAACTTGGCACCACACATCTCCATCACAGGAAAGTGCTTTGTAGAGCCATCCCAAAGGCTTCTGGGCGATTTTTCATATAGGTAATGGTGTTCGTAGCGAAGAAACCGCAGAGATCTGCATAAATGAAAGTGTCCTGCAGGTGGTGCCTGTCCTCCATGGAGGAGGGGCTCTGGGATTGTGGGTGACCGTGAGCCGCGTGTTCAGTCTCTCCCAGAGTCCATAACTACAGTATATCAACACACAGCAGTCACCTTGCCTCAACATCTTAACGGCAACCCGTTTTTTCTCTGTTGTCCAGAGAGCCTCCCAGACTTCTCCGAAGTGCCCTTTCCCCAGCTTCCTCTGCAGGATGAAATCCTCCCGCGGCCTCTCCCAGGGTTCCATGTCGAAGAGCTCTCTCTGTGGAAGTGTACACTGCGTTAGGGCCATTGATGGGAACTGATCAGCTGACCCATGGGGTCACCTGACTCACCTTCCCCAGAGAGACAAATTCTGATTGGCTGCACAAGGACAGAGCTTCTTAAAAGTCCTTTATGAACTTTAAATTGCTCCCTAATAAAGGAAAAACTCCCGCCTGCACCAGTTTCCCAGCACAGTAAATATGGAACTTGATAACTTTATCTAAGAATCCTCCCCGTGACCCTGACCAGGATAAGCGGTTGAAAGAAATTTATTCTGATAATCTGTGCACAGCACCATGAAGCTAATTTAGTGTTTCAAAATATAGACAACATTATTTACCATGCTAATTTATTCTATCAACATTTAACCCGCAAATTAAGCTGCCACTCAGTGCTTCAAGGTAATGAGGAACCTTGAGTAAAAATAACAGAACAGGACTTAATGGCAACATGGTATAATAATATAATTAATGTCATCCCTGTCATTGATGAGTTTTATTTTGCAGACTCTCCCTGCATATCCCAGAGCAGCCAAAAACCAGTAACAGACCAGTGACACGGAAAACTCTCCTTATGAAAGCAATCTAGACAGAAGCACTTCAATGGCAAGAAAACAGCTTCATGTGAGTCTTTCATAGTAAAGCACGAGGCTGTTAAATGACAATCCTTTGTTACTGCAGCTTAGTAATTCTGCTGATTAATAGCTCAGTTTTCGTAAATATCAGTGTTAGACAACCATTTTTAATTTAGTTTTAGTCAGATGACTAAAATACAAATGCCCATTCTAATTTTCAAAACAGATCAGCATGAGAACAAGTATGGGTAACGTAGATAACTTTTTCAGGAAAAACAATTTAGACAGGACCGGACATTACGCAGCATAAGCTAAATGATGGCTGCTTTTCTGTAGTAGTGATCACACAGCGGTCAGTCAGCACCCCAAATCATGGAGAATGAACAAGTCATTTGGTTAGTTATAAATCAGGCCTAGTTATCACGTCTCGTATTGGTTAAAAATGGGACAATGCATTTCCTTCATACGGCCCACAACATGTTTATAATTCATTATTAAATCTGGCCAACAGATGGATCTTTTGCTTTCCACAGAATAAAAAAAAACAACGTAATGTTATTCCGCTAATAAGCACTGGCAAGTTTCACCACCGATATTACACAGAAGTACATTGATTATCAATCGAGTTGACAGAGTGCGTTCCATGTGCAAAAAAGAAAACCAAGCAGATATGCCTAGGTCTAACACACCTGTAATCAGGCACAAAGCCCCATAGTGAAATGACCCCCCACTCCAAAAAAAAAAATTGTTTACTACAGATCAGGCAAGTAGCAGGGTAGTATATTTTTATATAGTTCAAACAACCCCTCAAAATTTGCTTCCGCCCCAGTTAGTAAAATCTACCAAGAAGGACCCATCAGCAGAGGTGGACACGAGTCACTGACTCATGACTTGACAAATTTGATGACTTGTGACTCGACTTGCACTTGAGAGCAGCGACTTGAGACATGGATTCAACTTGGACCCTATAACTTGAGATTATAGCTCCCCTCTGGCTGCCATAATGTTAATTCTCTGCTGTCTGCATTTTCAATTGGCTGACTGCAAGGTCTCCTGAGATAGTTTGTTGGAAAGATGCATCGCTCTCTGCATATACCCGGATGCAAGACATGAGGTCAACCATTACAAGAGTGGAGACTCTATTTTCAACCTCTTTCTGCCTATATACACAACGTACTGTGGTGGGTTTTTGCTGCAGCAAGTATTAATCACTTGAGGTAAAAAAGTGACATAGGTAGGGACTCAAGTTACATGACTCACAATTTGACTTGGACTTGAGTCACAAATTTGATGACTCATGACTTGTCATCAAAAATTATAAAGATTTGGACTCTACTTAGACTTGAGGGCAAATGACTCGAGACTTGACTCGGACTCACTGATGTTCCCAATCCCTGCCCATCCATACAATTGCCACCCCCACCCCCAAATTCATTCATTCTGGCTACTGGCCTGGTTGTAATATTGTATCTCTGCTGTTTTCACACCTGGTGTGTACCAGAATACCCTGGGGTTAGCAACAGTGGTAATCACAGGCAAGTGTGAAAGACGAAACAAACACGTGTCAGGCTATGAAGTAGGCCTGGATTATTTTTAGCAACTAATAATGTTTATCACAGCAGGAGAAGATCATAGTAACAATTAACAATAGCATTGTAAGGTAAGACCCTATACATTAAGATTTCAAACACAAATTGAGTAACACTTCAGAGGGTGCAGTTATAACATTACATGAGATTTAGGCAGATGACAGGCTACTTATCATCTGTGATCAGTCGGTCCGGTGAACGCACCTGCTGGGCACAGGGCAGGACCAGAGGCACGCCAAGGCTCTTGGAGTTGTTCTGGTAATAGCACACCAGCTCGTCCAAGGTGGCGAATGAAATCTTATCAGACACATAGTATGCGCCGATGGCTGAGCGATGGATTCGGAAATGGAAGACCTTGCCTTCATTCCTGGCTGTTTAACAAAGGGAAAAAAGCTCTTACCTGCTAAGGCAATGGCTGCATGGTGTACTGGGCTGTGAAAACTGACATTCAGGTAAAAGCCTCCATTACCAGAAGAGTATAAAGGTTTATTTCATATAGGCCTATTCGAATGACAAAATTCTCACATCATAGGTTTTGCTGAAAATACAAATATAAACAAATGTATTTTTACCTACAGTGTCAGAAAAAAGGTACCAGTTTGTATCTTTGCTTGTCACTAGGGCTGTACCCTGCCAATTGTACACTTAGCTGTGGGTAAACGTACTTTTAAGGTACAGAAACGGACTCAGAGTTACATTTCTGTACCATTAGTACCTCTTTTTTTTTTCCTCTGACAGTGTACTCATAAAATGTGTGCAGCCCATTATTCAAATCAAATAATTAATACCATCATTTTATTCCAATATACGATTTATGTCTTAAAGGACAAAAAACATTTGCAGTTTCTGAGCTCCACTGCAACATTTTACTAAAACCGAGAGCCCTGCAGAGACATTGATGGATACATCCAACACTGCATAACATTAAACAAAAGACGACCTCAAGTTACATGCATTTTTCTCTGGTGACGTTTCAATACCTCAAAGTTTTAATGCCGGGGAGTATCGATTTTTGCGCCACCTGCAGGCACCGGGTGCGCATTGTCTTTCTCTTGCATGGCTTGCCGGGCCGGACGTGCCTTCATGCACGCTTCAAGACGCGGCGGAGCTCACCTGAAATTGTGTACTCATCACTGTGGCTCTCACTGATGCGGACCAGGAAGGAGCCACTCTTATTCTGCGGCGCCAGGAGAAGCTTCTCAGCCTTTTCTCTGTTGATATTGCCGTAATACCACCTCGACAGTAAATGAAAAGGGGTGTATAGATGGCTATCAGCTCTTCAGTCCCATATTTACTCCAACTGTTACATTGTTATAAAGTTATATTAACGGAGATTGGGTTCGGTCGCTCTTTGTTCTATAGGGAAAATCGAGTTACTGTGTCGAACCGGTTCTCTTTCATTTTGCTTAAAGCGAACCAACTGTAAACACAGATGAAGATATCCGACTGGGTCACTGAAAAAACATCCTTAGAATGTGCTGATTCTTACGGAAAAACGTTCGGCCCTATATTGTATTGCGACATAAAATGTCAAATACTTGTACGCGCTTCAGTAATTAATACCAATCAATGCAAAAAAGCGTGATAATCCAGATATTATCCCTGGAAGCAAGGAAGGGGACATTCGCACTGGAGGGCAGTCACCTCAGTGCACCGCACAGATTCACACGGTATTGGGAGCCAGGGGAAATTAATAGAGCGTGCAAACTGCACAAACCAAGGACGCAGTCCATGCACGACGTGCCCAGCGTAACAGCACACATAAATGCAAAATCAGCCATATATAAATCAACCACAATTCTACGCACCGACGTATGGTATGGAAGATGGATGGAGGAGATTATCATAGTATTCATTAAGATTAATATTACATTAAAGATAATACAAATAAAATTAATAGGCCTACCTACAGGCACGAGGAAGTTCATGGATATACCGTGAAATTTTAGGCGATCTATATAATTCGATCACTTCTATTAGCATATATTAGCATATTGGCTTCAACAAAGCATAAAAATAGTAATTAATTTTCCGCAGCTTTTTACGTTGCACCAGTCAAAAATATCTGAGATGACCACCCACAAAAGCGGCTTGATACAACGCAGGTAGCCATCACCGCGGGACACACTTACACTTACAATGGAGACTATACGAGTGGGCAAACGCAGAGAAATACGCCGCTTTCGCCAGCGTTAGATTAGTTACACAGTAAAGCGTAAAGTACACAAGGGCGGACGCGGCGCCGTCAGCGCGCACATGGCCCAGCTTCGCGAAATACAGGTTTCACAGAAACTCCTCTGCCTGGGAGTATCGGCTCACTAATTAATATGACTTTAATTGGATTTGTTTAAGGGAGCTAATTCAGGACGGGCGGTGTACGTGAAGGTGTCAATGTAGGCGGCAGTGTCCCGCAAAATTAACGTTTTTAAATAATTGGAAAGGGAGAGTGCTATGGGGATAGGGTGCAGGGCGTCACTTCGTCAGCAGTCTCTGTGTGCCCATAGAGATTAATCAGCTTTGTCTGAAAACAAAGGGAGTTAATTAGTTTGCGAGGCTCTGAATGCTGTCATCAAAATCCAGCGCGCGTACCACTCTCTCGGGCATACGCAAAAACACACTTTCCGAAACAAAAACTCATTATATTTACTAAAGATATGCATCTGATAGAACAATGGAGTCCAACAGTCCACATATTGTACAGACAATTTAGTACTAAATACAAAGCCACCTGTCATTTAACTACAGTACTGCTCCACTTCTTAGTTTCTGTTTAACTTTTGGGTTTCATGAATTTTAATGTAATTACACAGCATTCATTTATTTACAAAAAAAAAAAAAACAAAACAAAATATTTCATCAGCTACGCTAGGCTATTAGTACTGTCTTTCCAAACCACACTCGTGAGCTGTATGCTAGCTGTAGCTATAATCCTAAAACCATGTGTGTGTCAAGCCTGTAACAGAAGCAAATAGTTTAATAATTCGCTAATCTGCGTTTGGGGATTCGTGGGAAGAGTGGGAAGTAGGAAACACTCACTTGTAATTGGCAAATTCATCTTGCAGCAGTGTGACATAATTTGCAGGGACTAAGCCGGACTCCAGCGAGCCGGTGAGCTTTTTGGCCAGGACGTACTCCCCCCGTTTCTCTATGATCGACAGTTTGTCGCCTTCTTTCACGGACAGCTCCTCGTCGCTGCGGGCTTCGAAGTCGAAGAGAGCTGCGTAAAGCTGCGCAGGCTTCTTCCGCGGGTCCGGGATCCGGATGTCCCCCGAAACGGTGCGGATTTCTGCGGCTTCCGAGCAGGACGGGTCGCTGGATTCGGGCCATATCCAGTTCCATAACCTACCCATACACGGCATGCAGGTCCGACAGCAGCCCTCCATCCCAAGCCAGCGTCTCCAGCTCCGCAAACCGACGGCAATACTGTATGTTTTTTTTTCCTTGCAGGAGAACAAAGCGACAATATCAATGTCAGTCCTGTTCTCTCCACCTACCTATGAAACACTTATTGCTGAGTACGATCTCGCAGGCAGCGCAGGGCAGTTCCTAAAACACTAAAACAGAGACTGACAATCTGATGAAACCGGTTTCTGTTGAATATAGCCTATCCTGGGTACTGAACTGAGAGGTCGCCGGGAATGCGGAAACGACATAATGGACTAACGTCTCATTTGTGAAGCCGGCTGACAAAAGTTGGTGGGTTTATACTTTGCATAATGATGAGTTGTGTAGTATTCTCAAGGCGAGTTATTACTGCCCAGCGTGGTACTGCTACCTGCATATCATAAAGGCTTTAAAAACGAAGGTTACGATCGTCATGTTAGCATCGCGCAGCATAATACTGTCATTTAAGCTACTCATGCGGCGAATTTATAACGTTTTGGAATTAAGCGTTTTACTGGCATCTGCGATCAATAGGCATTAAATTGCTGATACATCAAATATAAATTCAATAAGTAGCCTATTGCATTAATTTGTAAAGCGAATAACATTAATTGTTACAAAACTGCATTGTATAACCGGCTGTTAGTTTTGCTAAACTAATATTTTCACTCTAATTCTTTTTTTTAGCCTATTAAGCCTATTAATGAATTGTTGTGGTATGGTTCTCAATGGTAAAGTCCACGCGGACCGTTAGGCGGCAGTGGCGTGCCTCTTCCTGCACTTCACCTGACATTAATCGCCTGGATTACTCATACGCCTCACTGTATCACTTCTCAAGGAAATCGTATGGTGTCATATGAAATCTTGGTGAATAAAAACCCAAAGTACACAATAGGCTACTGCTTGTCAGGGGAAATAATATATGGGCTATATGAAATTAAAGGTAACAACTTATCCAGAGCGAAATTGCTGCCCATGCTTATGAGACGCATGGATGGTCATGGAAGATAAAGATCACTGGACACACACCACTTACCGTGGGCGGCTTTGTTTGACCATTCCGCTGGGTGCGGTCAAATTTTAACCAGGTGGTCGAAAACAATCCTCCTTTCCGCATTTTACTAAAACCAACTTAAGGTAGTACATTTGCTTATTAAAATGACTCACGTGTTTCCGTAGTTTCCTCTCCAAACTCCACACGTTTTAATTTCCCCCCAACCCCCACATTTTTTTATATGAAAACGTTTTTTAGCATAATGCTCCAGTCTTGTATTCCAGAAGGACCTGCCAATGTTTGTACTGCACTGTAAAAACCAAGGAAGCATAACCCAAATTTCTTCTCTAACGACCCAGATTTGTACATATATATACAGACGTCTGAAAACGTAATGCACGAGTGATGTTCTGCGTCGGTCTCTGCTGAAGAAATGACATGTAATATTTACTACACAGCTATTCTCAGGCGAATTACTGTTTTTTAAGAAGAATGAACCAACAAACTAATTGTATAGTAGACTTTATGTAGCAGACGCGCATCAAACGATAATTTCGCGACATGGCGATCAAAAAGATGCATGGACAGATTTTCTGGTTCGGTTTGATATATAGCACACTGTTTTATTAGTATATTTAGCCTTGTGACGTACAGCTCGGGGCAGAATAAATCATTAGACAATGTTATGTTGGAAACAGCGTTTTACCGTAGCGGTGACATCACGCCGAAGAAAGCTTCTTTTCAAATCATTGGTATTTCATTAATCAAAGTGATATGTAAAGTCAAAGACAACTGCTCATGCTGTTTCGCATTTACTTTTTATCTTTAAATTGCTCCACATATATTTATCCACACTCCTCTAAAGAATTAAGATATTTAGCCACATGAACTGCAAAATTATTCACTGTTATATAACACAATAAATATAAAAAGAATTATTTGATATAATGTTATAAAAGAGGGAAATGGGCCTTTTCAACAAAACTCGTTTAAAAAGTGTGTAGTCTTTTTTCCTGAGATTTGTCATATCTTTTTTAAAAATACTATCAGTCTAATAAACCCTATTCAGGGGATGTAAATGGCTTATAAAATCGCTGAAGGAGAAATTCTCGCGTGTCAGATAGCGATAAAAACAAAGTTTTTTCCCTTTGCTTTTTACGTATTAAATTGGCTTAAGGGGACAAATTCTTAGCAGCCAAAACTCTATTGTATACGTATTTTACGCGTGATTTCGTTGAACGTAAAGGACCTCAGCCTTATTTAGACACGGCTCCATTTTCCCTCCATGTACAAGGTATTAGATTAAATTAAAGCTGGGATGGGGG